CCTTTCCCACTCCCTTCCCCCCCCTTTTCCCACCCCAACCCTTTCCAAGGACATTTTTTTCCCCTCTGGAATCAAGGAAACTCAGTCCCAGAGACGTGAGAGCAGCAGAGCGAGGAGGAAAAAAACCCCACAACCCCCACCATAAAATGGGTGCAAAGTCATAAAAACTCAGGACGCGTCTTTGATGCCCCTAGAAACGTTTCGGAGCAAGAAAAATCCCGAAGCTTTGGTCTGTTTTTGTAGTAAATCCCGTACAAGTCACACGGGGGGGAGAAAACCACCTTTGAGAGGAGTTCTAGGTAAAAATCCGCTGTGAATTTCTTTCACTTTTCTTTTTTTCCCCGGAGTTTATGGCTTCGGATCAATCCCAAAGGCAGCTGGCCCGGCTGCCGAGCCCGTCTGAAGTTTATACTGGGATTTATACTGGGGTTTATACTGGGATCTCTCTGGTGCTTTGCTAAAACCCCGAGGCAGCGATTCCAGCGCTCCCACCGAGTTAACGCTCCTCCTGGTGGAGAAAACCCCTCACCCTTCATCCAACCCTGTGTTTCTCCTGCTTTCATTCCCCCAGGGAAGCATTTTTCCTCGGGAAACACGAAGCACTCGGGCTGCCGAGCCCGTCTGAAGTTTATACTGGGATTTATACTGGGGTTTATACTGGGGTTTATACTGGGGTTTATACTGGGGTTTATACTGGGGTTTATACTGGGGTTTATACTGGGGTTTATACTGGGGTTTATACTGGGGTTTATACTGGGGTTTATACTGGGATCTCTCTGGTGCTTTGCTAAAACCCCGAGGCAGCGATTCCAGCGCTCCCACCGAGTTAACGCTCCTCCTGGTGGAGAAAACCCCTCACCCTTCATCCAACCCTGTGTTTCTCCTGCTTTCATTCCCCCAGGGAAGCATTTTTCCTCGGGAAACACGAAGCACTTTGCTCCTGTCTCCCATAACTCCCAGTTTTGGGAACACTAACTTTCTGTGTCCAGCCCAGTGGCTGCTCTGGGTGATTTTCTTCACCCCTGTTGTTTTATTTGGGGGGTTTTTCAGCTCCTCAACACCCCCCCCCATCCACAATCCAGGAGCTCTGGCTGCTCTGATCACCCCCCAAAGATCTGCCTGAGGGTGAACTGAAGCACCCAGAGTTGGCAGCTCTTTGGGAAAATCCTACTTGGAGGTCAAAGTGTTAATTTTCCAGAGAATGGACCTGAGAAATTCCTGGGATTCACCTTAATAGAGGTGGTTTTTTTTTGGAAGAGGAAAAATTCTCTGCTTGGCTACTGGGAATGTTTCAAGATGGAAATGGGGCTGGAAGTTGGAGCTGAGGTCCCTTCTGACTCTTGTCTGGGTGAAAACCTGGAAGCAGAGTTGGGGGACACCAACCCCCCCCTCCCTCCCAGCCCAGAGGTGCTGGGGCTGCTGCTCCCAGTCTGGACCATCTCACCCCTTTGGTGAGGTTTGGGGGTTCTGTGATGAGCACCCAAGAGCAAGGAGTAAGTTTTGAAGGGCTTAATGGCAGGAGGAGCAGCCACCTCCCCAAACCCTGGGATGACCATTTCCTGAATGATCACTGGGGAAGCAGTTGGGAAATCTCTTCATGCAGCATTTTTTTAGGGCAAAAATCTAAGCACTGCTACCAGCTGTGTTTTCACAGCTCTGAAGAACTGAAACATCAAACCTTGGACACCCAACAAGGACCAGAGGATCCTTCAGGCTCTGCTGGTCTTGGCTCCATCTTCTCCTGCAGAAATGGGTCAGTGGGGCTGGAAAATGAGGCTGAGGGCAGGAAGCTCTGCTAAGGAGAGGAACTGGAGAAAAAGAGAGGGGAAGCTCTGACTGCAAACACTTCCTTGGGCAACCAGAGATTCCTCCTGGGGCTGGTGCAGGACCCAGAGCCAGGGTGGAGAACCTGCAGAAGAGCACATCAAGTAGGATCTGAGGGTTCACTGTGGTGGAGGCACCTCCGAAGGAAAAGCAGGACCAGGGCTGGGAATTTCTTCCCCCTGATGTGTTTGATCTCTTCTCCCCAGGGTAAAGGGGCAGGCAGCTCCTCCAGCCCCGTGGCTGCAGCTTCGGTACCACCCCTGGCCCAGGCCAGACACCCACCCATCAGCAAGGGGGAGATCTTCAAGCTTCCAGGCAGGCTGAGTGAGTAGATGTTGAGCAAATCAACACTGCTTCAAAAAAAAAAAGGAGCTCCCACAGGGTGGGACATGGAGGGTAAAGTTGATTCCTTGCCCATTCCCTGCTGGCTAGATGAGATGGACAAGGTGGATCAGGGTTCATCATCTCTTTGGGGTGTTAACACAGAGTTTGGTGATGGAGAAGAGCAGTGTCCCCACCCTGTCCCTCAGCAGGGGTGAGGGTAGAGACTGAGTTGTTTCAGAGGCTGCCCCTGGTTTCAGGAATCCAGCCCTCCCTGTGGAGCAAGGATGACGTGATGCACTGGCTGAGGTGGGCAGAGGCAGAGTATTCCCTGCGGGAAACCGACGGCAGCAGGTTCCAGATGAATGGCAAAGCCCTTTGCATCCTCACCAAGGAGGACTTCAGGCACAGAGCTCCCAGCTCAGGTCAGACCCAGGCTGAGGGTCTTTCTTGAGGACCCTCCAAGTGCAGCACAAGCTGTGCTCTGCTGCCAGGGGCTGCAGGGGTCCCAGCAGCTTCAGCTCTGCCCAGTTGGGTGCTGGAGACAAGGACAACCCCTTCTTTAGTCCATCTGGACTGCAAACACTTTGGGATGGGGGGTAACCTCTGGAGCAGGGAAATCTGAGCACCAGCATCAGCTGCCAGGGCCTCTACCACACCCAAAACCATCTGAGCAGACTTTCCTTCCCCACAGGTGATGTGTTATACGAAATACTCCATTACATTAAGACTCAGAGAAGAGCCCTGGTGTGCAGCCCTTTGCTCAGCTCACCCTTCAGGGAAGCAAGGACCACTGAGGAAGGTATGGTAGAACAGGGCAGCTGTCCTTCAAGCAGAGCCTGCCCTCAGCTGTCTAGGGCTTGAAGCTCAGCCACCTGAACCCACCCCACAGTACCTGAGCAAGGCAAGCAGGACAGTCCTGGAGGTGGCAGCCAGGTCCAGCAAAGTCCAGGTCATCAAGGAAGCTTGTGGTGATGCAGCAGGTCGGGTCAGAATCAGGACTAAGGATCAGAAGGTGGATCCATGGTGGGTCTAGGTGGATCTATAGGCAAGGCTATGGCTGCACTAGAGAGTGTATCTGCACGTTAAGGGCTGGTTTGGGGGGGTCAACAGCCAGGCAGAGGCACAGCCCTGGCTGAAGACTAGTCCTGCAGCACAGCTGGTGAGGGCTGAGGAGCCAGGGCTGAGCTTAAATAGACCTCCTGGGCCAAGGGTGGGGTGAGAAGAGACTCCAAGTGAAGCTCATCAGGGCCATTGAGGTTTATTAGTGCTCCTGGGGGTCTGGGTAGGAGTTGGGTTGAGGAAGGGTTGGTACTTGTGGTTGGCTTGGCACTGAGGTGGATCTGGGAGGGCTTTCCTGAGCTCCTCTGCTGGCTCAGCTGTGGGGTGATGAATGTGCCCCCAAGGGTGTACAAAGGAGTGTCTGTGCTTTGGGGCACTCTCCTGTTCCAGCTTCTCCTCTGTATCTGACCCTCACTCTACCTGTCATCTCCTCTGACCCCCCTGGACCTTCTGCTGCTCCCACCTCAGGGAAATCCTGGTTCCCCAGCATCTGCCTCCTCTGGCTGGGCTGGTGACCACCCTGGGCTGTCCCTCCCCCTTGTATCAGGACTTTGGAAGATCTCCTGGGACCTGCCATCATGCACCAAAGAGGTTGTTTTTGCTTTGCAGGGACAGGCTGTGGTTTCCAGGCTGCCCCAGGTGCTGGTTCCTCCTGCCTGGGTTGTGCAGGACAACCTGTGTCCCACAGCCACGTGGGGCCACTGAACCTCTCCCACCACAGCTCAGAGGACAGCTGCCAGCCAGGGGCCATCTGCTCGTTCCCTACAGCCCTGTCAGCTCCAGTGGCTGGAAAAATTGCAGGTAAATATGAATTTATAGCCTGGTTCCTTGGGGAAACTTCTGCTTCGACCCATCTGTCCCCCCCTCTGTGTTCCACACATCAGTGTGTGCTTCCCTGCCTCAGTTTCCCCACCTGAAAAACTGAAGTTCCTCCTGGAGTTTTGAGATCTGGCAGTTAAAATGCTGTGCATGAGCTCTGGGCTCATCTTATATTAATTATCATCACCACCTCATGCAACACTGATGCTGACCAACCCTCCTGGAGCAGGGCTGGGAGCTCTGTGACTATTTGGAATAATCACAGCATCATGGAATGGTTTGGGTTGGAAGGGACCTTCAAGATCATCCAGTGCCAACCCCCTGTGGGCAGGGACACCTCCCACCAGCCCAGGCTGCTCCAAGCCCCATCCAACCTGCCCTTCAACACTGCCAGGGATGGGGCAGCCACAGCTTCCCTGGGCAACCTGGGCCAGGCTCTCATCACCCTCACAGCAAAGAATTCCCTCCTCATCTCCAACCTCAGCCTCCCTCTTCCAGTTTTCATCCATCCCCTTCATCCCACCCCTCCCTGCCCTTGTCCCAAGTCCCTCCCCAGCTTTCCTGGAGCCCCTTCAGGCACTGGAAGCTGCTCTAAGGTCTCCCTGGAGCCTTCTCTTCTCCCACAACAAGAGGTGGATTCCCCCACACTGGACACTTTTAAGACTCAGCTTGACAGGCTGCTGAGCCACCTCACTGAAAAGATATAATTACCATAAAGGTTGGACCAGATGATTCTTGAGGTCCTTTGCAACCTGGCATTCCCTGATCCTGTTTCTCCTCCCCTGCCCAGACTGCAGGTTGCTGTGGGACTACGTGTACCAGCTCCTCTCCGACAGCCGCTACGAGTCCTACATCAAGTGGGAAGACAAGGAAGCCAAAGTCTTCAGGGTCGTCAACCCCAGTGGACTTGCCCAGCTCTGGGGGAACCACAAGGTAAATGCAGCTGAGAACAAATCAGTCATTCCATGGAGAACCACCTCCAGTGTCCCACGCGTGGTCCTGCTGCAGACACACCCAAACTTGGTGCTTGAATTTCTTCACCCCTCTCCATCCAGTTTTTCCTTTTCTCCTTCCAGAACAGGATGAACATGACCTATGAGAAGATGTCCCGGGCTCTCAGACATTACTACAAACTCAACATTATCAAAAAGGAGCCAGGGCAGAAGCTGTTGTTCAGGTGAGATCATAGAATCCTAGAACCATTCAGGTTAGAAAAGCTCCTTGGGATCACTGAGTCCAACCATCACCCCTAGTCCCTACAAAGTTCTCCTGTAAACCACATCCACCAACACCACATCCACCAACACCACATCCACATGACCCTTCAACACATCCAGGTGAAGCAGATCAGAGAGAGGAGCTGCCTGGGACTGTGCAGATGGGACAGGGGAAGGTGGGGTGGGCTCCAGATCTTGGCAGCTGCTTCATCCAGATCCAGAACCCTGGTGGGTTTGTGTCGTGCAAGCTGGGACATCTGGGCTCCAGGTCCTCCAATGCCCTTTTCAGGGCTCTGGGCCAGTAGCTTGTCCCAGGGCCAGCATCCAGCTGCTCTCCTGTGTGGGGAGCATCTGCTGATGGTGGAAATGTCCCTGAGCCCACCCAGGCTGGATAGGTCCCTCCTGTGGGACACCAGCTCTGAAGTTCATCTCCAGACAGGAGAAGGGGTGGAGTTAACGCAGGAGCCTCCTGTTTTCAATGCTGGCTGCTTCCTGGGAACTAGTTTGGGCTTCAAATGTCCTGAGCTTTGTCACCCTGGGTGCAAAAGAAGAGCTGGGGTCCTCAGCAAAGCCCAGGGATGGTTGATGCCCTCTGGTGAGCTCCAGAGCTCAGCTGACAAGGATGAGGGCTCCAGCTTGGGTTGAGGACAGGACTGGACATGCACTTAAAGCCACTAAAAAAAATGAATTGCAGGTTTTTGAAGACTCCTGGGAAGTCCATCCAGGAGAAATCCAGCCAACTGGAGCAGCTGGAGAACGAGGAGCATGAGGATTTCAAAGATGACCCACTGGAAGTTTCACCGTAGGGAATGTTGAAGGTGGCATTTGTGGTGCTTGGCAGACAGACCCGTGCTCTGCTGGGAAGTGCTGGTGTCTCCTCCATCTCCTGGATAGGAGGCCACTGAGCTGGTCCTGGATCTCCAAACCTGCCCTGGATCAAAGCTGTGACACCTCTGGGGCTTTGTTAGTAAAACACACCCAGAAACTGTCCCCCCAGCCCTGGAAATGCAGGTGAACTTGGGGACTGGTCTTCTGCTCACTTCTGCCCTCTGGGAGGGAATGGGAAGTTCTTGCTCCAGAAGGTTCTTGTTCTTTAAGGTTCAAACCTTCTAGTACAGAGGACTGGAGCACCCAAGCTGGGTCCAGTATCTCCCCAAGGGCTTTTCTTCTGGACTTGAGTCACTCCCCTGGTGGGAGGACAGACCCAGACTGCAGGTGTGAGGGACACTGTGGTCTCTGTGTCTCCCAAGGCCTTGCTCCTGGGATGAAGGGTGGGAGTGTTCTGGAATACCTGCCTGGATCAGGCCTGGCTGGAGCTCCAGGCTGCTCAGATGCCCTAACCCAGGTCTCCTATTAACTCTTCTCACTCCATGTGATGCTTTTTGTCAGTAGATGCCTAAAGAAGGTGAAAAGAAGCCCAGCCAGTGGTGACCATGACCACACTCCTTGTCAGACACCTGCTTCATTTGCTTCGAGTCCCAAGCAGGAATTCCTGGAAGATTCCAGGGAGGAACAATGTCTGTGTGTGTGGTTTTTAAATCCAAACATATTCACTTAGATTTCTCACTGAGGAAATAAAATCCTGGGCCTGTGCATGGTTGGAAATCCCACTCCTTGCTGGCTGAAGGTCTGAAACTGGGAAATCCAAACCTTCCTTGTTTCAAACCAGCTCCTGTGGGCACCTGGATCTTCTCCCCAAGCTCAGCAGCCTCCAGAGCAGAGCACAACAGCCTGAGGTGTTCAGCAATGGGTGAACATGATGCAAAACCATGAGGGTCTGTAGCTACATGGACAGGCACAGATGCAGGTCATGGAGCAATGTCATGTTTCATGGTTGATAGGAAAAGTTGAGTTTCTTCCAACCTTGGCTTTGCACCACTACCAAAATTATCCTATTGCCTCATATCTGTGCTCTGAACCCTTGTCCAAGCTGCCATCTCAGACCTGCATCACCACCACCACCACTCTTGGGGCAGAAATGCTGTGAGTGGGTCTGGGGGCTCAGTCTTGTGAACAGCTTTGGCAAGGGTTGGTGCCTGAGGTTGCCACCAAAACTGGTTGCTCCCAACCTGCAGCTACAGTCCCTGTCACTGTAACTGGTGTTGCTTCTCCAGAACTACTGTATGTCTATTCACTGGAGAGCCTGGAGATGCTGGGGGGTTGAAGCCAGCAAGAGATGGTGGTGGGACACATGGTGGTTGGCAAAATGTCAGCAGCACAACATTGCTGGAAGGGCTGGCTGAGAAGTTTCACTGCCAGAAGAATCAGCTGGTTGGCAAAAACCAAGTGCTTGACAAGTCAAGTGATGGAGGAGAAGGGAAGGAGAAGCTCCAGTGGGGTAGGGAAGCATAATGTCACAGCCTTTGGGAGGTCCTAGGTAGGAAGGGAGGCCAAAAGCTCTGCTAGGAGAGGGGCTGGAGGTTCTTCAGCACCCAGCCAAGATGTACCCTGGAGATGGACCTTACCAGGCAGGTGCAGTGAAGCACCCAGAACTCATCCTTTCCTCCACAAAGGGTGTTTATTCTCCAAGAGAAGACTAAAGCCAGACCTTATCTTGGGGTGAAATCCAACAGAGTCAGCATAAATCCTGCCCAGCCCTGAGGAACAGCTTGGGTGGGAAAGCAGATCTCATTCCCTGGAGTCTGCCCCATCCTGGCCCTGCCTCTTTCTTGGGATACACACCCATGGGTGCATTTTTCCCAACAAGCCATCCTCCCACTTTCTTCTTGTGGAAAAAGCCCTGATGGCTCCTGAGCATCCCACCCCAACGCTGGCTGGTTGGGTTTGTGGGAGCAGGTGGCTGTTGGTGACCTTGGTACTCAAAGGGACCGTGCCAGGTGCCCTCTCTTCACCTGGTTTTTCCTTCCATGACTCAGGATCCTGTTGGACTGGGCCGGGGATTTCCTCTCCTGCCTGGGAAGCTGCCCAAACCACCCAGCCCTCCTGGGACCAGCTCGTGCCGCCGCTCCCGGGGGATGAAAAAAAATCAAGGGGGACTTAAGGATGGGTTGGAATGACCAGCTCTTTCCACCCTCTCAGGAAACCCTCGTGTCCTTCCGAGAGTGATGGGGCTTTTTTCCCTGCCCTAAGCAGAGGCAGGAGGGATCTCAAGCTGCTGTTTTCCTGGAACAAGGACCCGGCCCTTTGGGTAAACAGCCGAGGAGCCGCCACCTGCGCCGGGTGTTTGGGGTGGGTGGAGGGACAGGAACCAGGGACTTTTGTCACGACTGAAGTCCAGGGGTGGTGGCAGGTGTCCCAGACGAGGCTTCCCCAGTGTTTGAAGGGTGCTGGGCATCCTGGAGGCCAGTAGCCCGTGCCTCAGCAGCCCCCGGGCTGGTGGGATTTGAGGCCCAACAATCACCTGCTGAGGGAAGCAGCTGAAAATCAGTCCTGGGGCTGGAGGAAAAGGATCACAGAATCACATGGAATCCCAGACTGGTTTGGATTGGAAGGGACCTGAAAGATCATCTGATTCTAACCCCCCTGCATGGGCAGGGACACCTCCCACCAGCCCAGGCTGCTCCAAGCCCCATCCAACCTGCCCTTCAACACTGCCAGGGATGGGGCAGCCACAGCTTCCCTGGGCAACCTGGGCCAGGCTCTCACCACCCTCACACCAAAGAATTCCCTCCTCATCTCCAACCTCAATCTCCCCTCTTCCAGCTTAAAGCCATCACTTCTTGTTCTAACACTACGTGCCCTTGTATTGATACCCCAAATTAAGATCAGCCTTGGGGGCTGGTGCCCCCACCCTCTTGGGTCAGGGTCCCACACAGCCAAGCTGGCAGGTTTCCAGCAAGGCCACACGTTGGCTGTGCTGTCTGTCCCAACTAGAGCTGGTACCAGGAGCAGTGGTTGCCCTCATCACCCCTGTTCTGGTTCTCCCATTAGTCTTGAGCATGTCCCAAATCACAGAAGGGACCTGGAATAAGGTCAGGGTCCAGAATCACAATTCAAGTCAAGATTTTTCCTGGAGTCACTTTAGGTACCCCATCTTCAGGCTGTGTCCAGAAATGGTTGCTACAAAGAGGAAAAGCCAGCAAGAAGCCACAAGTCAACAGAATCACAGAATCCTTCTATTTGGAAAAGGCCTGTAAGATCATCGAGTCCAACCATTAATCCAAACCACTAAATCATGAGAAGTCCTCCATGAGCACCAATGGACTCAGCCTTGGATGATCTCCAGTAGCCAGATCTCCAAACTGGACGTGGCCAAATTGTGCCCCATGGCCAGAGCAGATGTGCCTTATTTTTTTAATGTCTCCTGCACAGAAAAAAACCCAACAAAACAACAACAGCAAAACTGACTGTGAAACTTCTGCTCACCCCCTGGAATCAACCTGCTCACGGAAGGCTGTGGTCACGAGCTCCTGATGGATGGTTTAATTATTTATCAGAAGCAGCTGAGGATGCTGAAAAACAAAGCCAGGTGCTTCCTAATCAATGCTGGACTCTGATTCACCAACGTAGGCTCTGGAAAAGCAGAGGGAAATGGGTTGGGTCTCTCCCAGTTCTAGGAAATTATGGCACAGAAAGTTTGATAGAAACCGAAAGGAAACGATCCCCTTGCAATTCAACAATTGCAAGTTGAACATTATAGGGATTGAGCATTATAGGGAAAATAACCCTTTGTATCCAGGAGGGACCCGGGCAGCATTTCACCCTGAAAACCAGAGAAACTGCAGCACTGGGAACCTCGCCGAGGGGTTTTCCAGAGATGGCAAATTCATCTGGCACCAGCTCCGTCCCCATCCCCGCCAGGTGCAGTGCGAACTGCCACCATCAGATGGCAAAGTAGCGATGAGGATGGTGGGCAGGACCTGCGGGGGTGGAAGGGGGTGCCTGTGGGCCCTCGTTGATCTGAGGAAGTTAGGACTTCTCCTTAAAAAGCCACCCAGAGCAGCCCATGTTCAGCATCGCACCCGAAAGCGACAACGCGCCGGAACAACAAACCGGAGCCACGATGCAAACCCAAGGGAACAAACCTAGAGCCAATGCCAAGCAGCTGGGCTGGGGGTGTCAAAGGGCAGCTCTTATCCCAGGTGACATGTGTGTTTTTTCTTATGCTGCTTGGTCATTTGTCATAAGGAAGTTGTTTTCTCCTCCGGCGAAACTCACGCACGCACGTTTTTCCGCCCCGAGGGAGGAGATAGCGGGGATGGCAGGAGGAAGTGTTGGCTGCTCTCCTACCTGAGTGGCTGCTAAAAATAGGTCTTAACTCAGCCCAGGGTATAAAAATGGGAACTTCCAGGAGAGCCCGACAACCCTTAGTGCCCGTGGCCGAGGAACTTGTCTTATGTCCAGCAGGGCAGACATGGAAAGGTAAATAGCAAAGGAATGAATAAAGGATTGTGAGGTTGATGTGGTGGGATCAGTCAGGGTGGGATGGGGGGAGGTGGTTTGGGTGGGATGAAATCCAGTTGGATGATTTGGTGTTGTGTGGTTCTGGTGTTGGTGTGGCTGAAGGAAACTTGCCTTCTTGATCCACAGAATGGCCAAGGTGAGGTGGGTGGGTGTTGCTGGTGTGTTGGGATGATGCTTGGAGAGCCTGAGCAGAGGTTGGTGCCCTGCTCCAGGGTGGGTTGTGTCATGGGATCATGGAATGGTTTGGGTTTGGGTTGGAAGGGACCTTAAAGACCACCTAGATCCAACCCTTCTGCATGGGCAGGGACACCTCTCACCAGACCAGGTTGCTCCAAGCCCCATCCAACCTGCCCTTGAATACCTCCAGGGATGGGGCTTCCCTGGGCAACCTGTTCCAGTGCACAGCCCAACGTGCTGGATTTTGGCCTTGGCTTCCCCTCTGCTGCTCAGTGGTGGGGAAGGTCTGGTCCAGGTCTGGTTCTCTAAAGGGAGAAATAGGTTCCTGAAGTCAAGTCAGCATGAGGAACAGATGTGACAGATGTGGTTTTTCCATAGCAGCATCTTCTTGCAGCCCCAGGCTGGCAAGAGCTCACAGAGAGGCTTCCTCATTGCAAGGTGCTCAGCCAATACTGACAGTGACTGAAGATATTTCCAAGAGGCCACCTTGCCCTCGGCTTCTCCAAGGACTGGAAGCACCCAGCCTTGCTGAGAAATGGGTTTTGGGTTCTTCTTGACAGCCAATATTTTAAGGGGAGATACTAAATAATCCAGGTTATGTGATTGATGGGGGACGGGCACAGTGCTCCCAGCGTTTAGTTTTTCATCCTAACATGGGACCACGTTACCACAGGACCATGGTAGCAGGATGATATCATCCTCTGGATGATAGCCAGGCCCTCCCCTGGAGAAGTGTCCAGCTCCTCTTCCTCCTCCCTGCAGTTTCACTTCCTTTATCACTGGTGTCTATTGCCCTTCGTAAAACCCCGCGTGTGCAGCCCGGGTAAAGAGCACTCAGATAACAACTAGAAATGGGGTTGCTCATTTACTGAGCACATGAACAGACACCCAAACCACCCTTGGGTGCTAAAACGGGGCTGATTTCCATCATGCCCAACCTGATAATGCAGTGGGAAGCAAAGCTCAAGTAGACAATGTTGTTTCTCCCTGCAGTAACGTGAGGGCTCTGCCTGTGGAGAAGCTCCAGTGGGATGTGGGGATGGAGGCATCAGGCAAGATCCTCTCTCTGGACAGGCAAGAGGCCAAAAAGGTGCTGGAAATCTATGTCAGGCGCTCGCTGAGCTGCTGTGAGAGCTCCATGGTGGCCAAGAAGAAGTGTCAGGAGCGAGCCAGGAGGCAGGGCAGGAAGGCAGATGGGCCACAGCGGTCGAAAAGTGACTCCTGCAAGAGCTCATGTGCCAAACTCAGCACCAAGAAGGACCAGGAGGAAGGACCCAAAGCAGCAGGCCTGGATGAGGGTCTGGGTGATGAGAACAAAGCTCCTGGGGAGGTCCCTAAAGAGGAGCTGAAGCCCAAGAGGAAAAGCTCCAAAAACTCTTCCCAACGCACCTGGTTCAAAAGTTTCTTAAATTTCATCTTCAAGAAGAGTTCTGAGGAGCAGAAGGAGAACACGGGGCAGAAAGCGAAGGAGAAAGATGCCAAAGCTCCTCACAGCTCCAAACAAGAAGGAGCTAAAAAGCCTGGAGGGGACTCGAGCATGTCCCCACCGCTGGGCAGAGCCCCCAAGAGGAGACCCAGCCTCAAGAGGGTTTTCTCCTTCAAGAAGCACACGGAGGAGGAGCGGGCAGAGGCGGCA